CCAAAAAATCATTTTCAAATAGGGATATATAATCTGCAATTCCACAATGACTACTTTCACTATATTTTGCTGGTAATACCACAGATGGATCTTGACTGAACGATGCAACCAAGTGTTTAAAGTACTGTAAGGGTTGTGTATTTGTGTGTCTTAATATGTGCGGGTGGGTGTATGGGAGGTATGTTGTAGTTAAAAAACTGACAGGGAAGCATCTGAGGTGTGTGCAGCAGGGCAGGGCAGGCCAGTAGGATGTGAAACCAGCAGCGGTGCGGTGTGAGCAGGAGGACCAGCAGGCTCAGCCTGTCTCCATCTATCAGCACCACGGTCTGCTCAGCAAGCTGACACCTCTGCTGATGTATGGGAGGGCTGCTGGATGACTAACAAGCAGACACACACAACACTTTGTAAGTATATACTGTACACACATGGAGCAACAAACAAACCATGTAACCCTGCAATCTACAGTCATACACTGGTAGGATCTGTGCAACACTGGTTGTGGGTTATCACGGTACTGAAAGCACAAACACAATTGTTATTTCTCACAACAAACACTTTCATGTTAATTCTGTCAACCACTTGAATTATTTCTCTCTCTCTCACACACACACACACTAGTATGTATTCTAAAAGAAACGCAATCTTTTGCTCACGCCTGCGCTTTCTCTCGCAAATCCTTTGACACACACACACACCTTCAACCTACACGCTCCCTGTGTGACCTGCTCAAACGTCACAGTACATTTGTCACTGCAGGCTCTTCCAATCTTGCACCTTCTCATCAGCAGGCTGACTGATGAAGTTCTCTGATAAACAGACATCAAAACTGATCTGATCATCCATCAGATCTCTGCTCCAGTGCAGGATAATTAGCTCATTTTTCTTTTGTAGATTTAAAAGTGTACTTAACACAGGAGCGCTGTGGAGAATGAGGAGTGGGTGTAATGAAACTAAAGTGAATCTTAGCAGTAGCATTCCTGGTGCACTGAGGAGACGTGGGACACTGTCGGTTAAAACTGGGAACAAATATATTGTTTAGTTTAACTTTAGAAGCAGAAAAGTAATTTTCTGTTGTGCATTAGGGCTGATGCACGGATTAATCAGTTTGAAAGAAAAATGCTACTTCCCCCCAAAATGTTCTGTTACCTCAGTGTCATTATGTTGATATTCAAAAATCTGTAGCTTTAGGAATGTTGCTAATTAATGAGTTAATGTTGTTGGATGCTACATCATTAACTCATTAATTAGCTACAATATGTTGTAGGGTTTTTTAAAGTTTGTTGTTTGGCAGATGACTCCAAAATACTAAATACTGGAGTATAGCTGCAGGTTAAGGGGTTATAGAAGCTAAAATGTAAGAAAACCATCCTGGGCTCCATCTCCTAGATACGTGCTTTCACTTTACTTTTCAGGAAGAGAACAGATTTTTAATATAGTTTAATATGCAAGCATTCTAGTCTGGACATTTATCAGGATGTGAGGGTAAAGAAGCAGATGCTTCATCCAGAACACAAGGAGTAAGTCAACTTTAAGACCTTGCCTCTGTAAAACCTTAAGTGTCCCTGTTCCTATCTTCACCTACTCTTTCCTTTGTCATTCCTTCTGTCTTTTTTACTTGCTTCCACTCTTCTGCTCCTCCATGAATGATACTGTGCCAACTGGTGACATGCAGAAATCCACACTGTGTCTGTGCTGTGTTACACTTCCCACTGAAGACATAACACACACACTATCTTTAATTGGGTACCCACTCTGTATCTAGTCATGCAAACACCAGAACACATCATGACAGTATTTATACACACATGCATCCTTCTTTCTGTTCGTCCCATCTAATGGGTCCTTAGCATTTTCCAGCATTTCCATTGGGTGTCAGCCAAATCCTCCTTCCTACCTGGACTGATGCTGAACCTAAACACAGAGACTCTTTTATGTGCTCAGGTGTCTCAAATGTCGCCATGATCTCAGGAAACAAAGAGCAGCCTCTTAGGGATGCCTTTGATGGTGTTTAGTTCTGAGTGCATTTGACATGTTTTCTTTTTCTTTGGATTAGTGAAGCTGCAGCTTGGTGAATGACGGAATAATCTTAAATTCACATTTAAGAAAGTGATTTACATTTCTATTCTCACACCTGACACATTTGAAAAGAGCTAACGTATTGTATTACTGTAAACACTGCCTGTCGACAGGTCCAAACAGCTCTGTGATCAATGGCCCCTTACCCTAACCTTAACCACCACAGCTACATGCCTACCCCCAACTCTTCCCCTGACCTAAACCTAATTCTAAAATTGTGTCTGATCCTCAGACACAAAAGCAACAACATGTACTCATAAACACAGCCGACAACAATATGTGTTGAGTATACTGTACACAAACACATGCACAAGTGCGGGTGTGTGTGGTTGTCTGTCTCTAAGTGTCAGCCCCGTGACAGACTGGCGACCTGCCCAGGGCGGACCCCGCATCTCACCCAGTGCCAGCTGGCATTGGCTCCAGCCTCCCGCAACCTTGTTCAGGAATAAGTGGTATAGACAATGGATGGATGAACAAACGTGCACACATCCATGCATGGACAAGTGGCATATTTATTCATCTTCACAGTTACACAAGACACACAAAGCAGTTGTGCAAACAGATAAAAAATTAGGTGAAACATCACTCTTATACAAACAAAACCACAGAGAAAGAAGTCATCTTCTGAGTGTAGTACTTAATGCAAACTGTGGCTGGAGCCCATTTCAGCAAATGTGATTATCCGGACACACGCCATCTCATTAAGAGATTGAATCTTAATGCCAGCAGTGTTCAGTGTGAGAGCACTGCTTGGCAAGAGGCAAGCCCAGATGCTTCTCAGTGTCTTGATTCGTCCTGCAGCCCATCGGGGATTTCTACCACAGATTTCAAATAGCTACATCAGCGTGCACACACAGTCTTCTGACACATTTACAGAGTGGACCAACGCACAAACACACACAGCAGCATCTGTTGCAATGTAGCCACTTACTAATTAAACAATCAAAACAGAGTTTTCTTTAATAAATCATGTATTTCCTTTCTCTGACTGTGTGTATGCACACAATGTGTACATTTATCAGTGCAGTGTGCATATTAACATGCAGATACGTGTATTTGTGTGTGTACAGGTGTGTCTGTGTGTGCAGTGCACTGTTTCAGATGTGCATGTGTAGATCTGCACACAGGTTATATTTAATTTTAAGTTGAAATGAAACTTGCTACTGTACCATATTCAACGTCAAACTTTTTTAACCACCTCACATGACTGGTTGAATATATTAAGACCAGTGACTTTAGTTTCATACAGCTTATGAAATGACAAATGGTTTCAAACTTATGACTCCAGACTAACTCCACGAATAAGAAGAGATCTATAAGCTCACTGGCAGCAGAAACGACAGCGGCAGTTAAACAATTTCAGTTTAGAACAAGTGGAAAACCGCTGGAACATGCCTTTCTGTTATCAACAACCCAATACGTGCTCCAATACAAGTAGATTTTTGGCAATTAAGTTCTCTTTGCAGTTATCGTTTGGAACTGTCAAGGTAAAGAAAAAAGCTCATATGGTTAAAATGATTTATTGATCTGATGTGGTGAAATGAATCTTAAAAAACACTCCAGGCTGTATACGAGAAGATTAGTTCAGATCCCACTCATGTTCTCCATCCTGAGTACCAGCTTCTGTCTTCAGGCAGATGCTTTAGAGTCCCTTTGTGCAGATGTAACTGTTTTAAAAATTATTTTGTCCCCATGGCAAGTTAGCTAAGACTAAGACCTAATATTCCCTGTAACACTTTATTAGCAGTTTTTAACTGTTGTATAATGTACGAGTTCAGTTACAGTATATAAGGTAGTGCAGGTGCTGTGGGAGTAACGCATTGTATTGTAGGTTGGGTATTATGATTTCTGTTACAGCTGGTACTGTGTGTATGTTCAAGACAAATTTATTCTGGGATAATAAAGTTGAGCTATAGTATCTATCTAAACAAATTGTTTAAGTGAGATTTTTACATCACTTCATATATGCATTGGATCCAAAGTGTAAGTGTGGGATGCTGTGGTCGTGAACAGATGTAGCGAGTTAACCCCTGCGACCTCAGCTGTCCCACCTGAGCAAATAAAACGTCAACATCCGGCTTCACAACCCCTCCTTCGACAGCTCCACTTCCTCCTTCTCACAGCACTCCTCTTCCAAAATAACTCTGCCGGAGCTGTTTGGGATTTAAGAACTGAAACATCAGCTTTCAAAAGTGTCTCTCCAGGAGTTTTCCCTGACCCACTCTCTGTCCAAACCACCCATGGAAGATTTAGGATCACGCTGTTAATATTACATTCACCCAACGCAGTTGACAGTTTGCTGAACTCTCTCTGAGAGCCCCAGATCAGCTGGAGCTCCCAGTGTTACATTAAGATTAGGAAGAAACTGAAACTAATATAGTACTGCTTTTTATAAATACTGACTTTTGCAGTTAGATAGCAGATACTACATGTGCACTGCAAATTTCAAAATACTATTGACATGCATCACTCACACACGTAGCCCATGTCTCCAGTGTTTTCTCAAGTAGCACGTGTTCACAGAGCCAGAAAGTATGTTTGTGATATGTTTCTGTATCAGTATTTGTGTTTTGCTTATAAAAGAAGCTGGATTTGCAAATGTTAAACAACAGGAGAAAATGTAAGAAAATGAATGTGTTTCAGAAAGCATTTCCTTTTTTCCTTAAATAGCATCCCCATTCAACTTGCATCAATCTAATGCCATGATGTGTGTTTCCACCATGACCTCAACTGGTCACTGTCATGAGAACAGCAGCCGATATTAACTACAGTACAATCGGTCTATTTTCAAGAGGTTATGTTGTGACTTGCTTAGACCAAATGTTCATTATAAACACTTTCTATAATAGGTGGGAAAACTGAAACAAGTATTTAAGTTCGTGGTGCCTCTACAGTATAAAATGACTAAACGTGTATGCACTCACACAAAAGCGTGGTAGACGAAAGCCCATTCCCGCGGCCTCTCCAGCACGTTGTAGAGGTAATTCTGGAGCCGTCGGTACCGCGCGTTCCTGCGACTGCTCTGTGCGCTGTAGGTCAGCGGCTTCCCCAGCAGACTGAGTCGGGCGCCCTGCTTCCTCTCCGCGCCCACCGCACCTGTCGCCGCCGGAGACATAAGACTGTCGCCGACTCGGACCGCGTTATTCATCGTCCTCCGCCCAGACTCCACATCTCTCAGTGCGCAGTCTTGCGTACGGCGTCCCGTTGAGGTCTTCAGCCAGAGGCCGGTGCCGCCGCTCTCGTCGCCGGTGTGATTTCGCGGCATGGCATCAACAGCGCAGTCTGGAGTGCGCTGGACGAGCGGCAGACATCACATGTAGCCAAGTGCACTTGGGCCAGAGGGTGTTTGTATACGTTGACTTTCACAAAGCACTAAATAAACCAAAGCAGTAAGGGAGGGGATAAATGTCTAATCTGCACTCAGCTCCTCATATTGTGGCAATGTGAGAAGATTCACAGTCCGGTTTGGACACTTTAACCATCTGCGCGAGGCTGGAAAGGAGTTGCAAAGTGTGCAGAGCCGGCCGGTGCTGCTCCAAACGATGGCTGTCTTTTACGCATCAGACAGGGAAGGGCGCAGCAAATTCACTACCTCCTAAACCACTGGATTAGTCTGTGATCTCTGTGTCTACTTTTCATTTTCTATTCGAGTAATAAACGTTAACTCGGGAACCATGAATATACATCAATACGCCGATGACGCGGGCTTTACGCACGCGAGGACATTTCCCAGTGCCCTTAACAACCGGTATGACAATGCCCAGGCCAAAAGTTGAAGCCTCTATGCGTGTGGAATCAGACTTCAGGAGGGAACTGGGCATGAAGTTGCTGGCATAGTTGAAGCTACTATAAATTACCTACTATAACACGAGTTTCACCCCAACAGTCTATAACAATAGCTAAACAAGAACTTCAACAATTGGCTGAAAATTGAACAGTACTTCCGTATTTGTTCATATTCAGAAATCAGAGCTTGAATAGTGAATTGTAGCTGCACCAGCAGTAAAGGTGGTCTCCTGGGTCTCTAAGTGTCTCCGCCCTTAACAGATATGATTCCCTGTTCACCGACCAATTGTACGTGACACACCGATACCGTTGTATTGTTATTTTTTTTTATTTTCTTTTGTTTTTCTGCTTGTTTATTTGTATGTTTGTTTAGCTATGTCTCTCCAACATGCTACTACCAACCCACTTATGCTGCCGTAAATCACGTTCATTCAAGCACTGTGGTTTATAGTGTATCAAAGAGTGACTGAAATCCCTCCTCCATTTTTTTGACCGGACTCATCTGGTGGTGCTATTATGTTAGACTCGGCTTACCATGATGTCCGCAGTTTGTCGCCATCACGTTTCCATTTTCTGAACAAGTACGCTGTCCTACTACAATGAAACAACTTTCTAAGTAGTTTGAGACATGTGGGATTCTTGTTGTGATCAAAGCATGCCCTCTAGTGGCACAACCTTGGAATTACAGGGAACGCCATGTGAAGTCCTCAGCAACTGCTTTGACTATCTGGATTTATCATCTTATGTAGAACTTTCTTTCCTACAGTGTGTTAATATTTTGTTTCCCACACTCGCAGAAATTGCGATTATTTTACCGTTTTATCTTAATTAACTTCAAGACTTTCTTTTAACCATTCTAGCTGTATTCGTGTAGTTTACTTTTAGTGGACGCTGGTCTTAATAAACATTTCCATATGCTAATGATTTGTATTTTCACGTTTGTTGCAGTTGTCAGGTGTCTTATGATAATTACCTACCGTCTCAGTCTGAGCTGCTACATATACTTTAGTTCTTTGAAGATCAATTAATAAAGTCAGCAGGGTCTGAATTCAGCACGTGGACAGCGACAACCATATCCAACTTGGAATAGTTTACACTTAGATAAGGAATAGGATAATAGGATAAGAAATGAGGAAAACACCGAGACTATGTGTGGGAGGGAGAACGGGACGAGTGTGCTCAGAGAGATTTTCACAGACGGAGAGAGACCTTTGGGATTAGGCCTGTGCTGCGGGTTGGACGGGATTACGGATGCTGTGCGCTCTGCCACGGACTTCTCCATAGGGCATTTCTCCGTCTGCCTGAAGTGACCGACACAACCCACACGCCCCCAATCCCGCTGATTCCGGAGATTTACTAGATATATGGAAAAATGGCCGACGTCCCTCAGATTGTCAAAATTGGGATCTCCTTGAAGATGCTTCCCAACAACACTGCGGTGTACTTCAAGTCCGACGGCGCCAGGTTCGGACAGACCCGGACGATCAAGCTGCTGACTGGGTCCAAGTACAAAATTGAGGTGGTCGTTAAACCAGGAGCGGTCGTGGCCACGTAGGTAGCCTTTTGGATTTTTCTTCCAGGCACGAATTATCCCGACCCGGTCATAACCCGAGCAAACTGCTGTGGTAAACCTATTCATTCTATAAAGCAAATATCGTGGCTAGGTCATCATTCCCACAGCTTCCTTCTGAGAAAATGCCTCTGAGATCAGAGCCACAGACATATTTTGAATCGGGGGTGGGGGGGGGGGGGCGTTGCTGGAGGAGGTCATCATTCCCACAGCTTCCTTCTGAGAAAATGCCCCAGAGATCAGAGCCACAGACATATTTTGAATCGGGGGTGGGGGGGTGGGGGCGTTGCTGGAGATTTTCCATATGGGACAGCAAAAGGACATTTGACAAGAGCTGTCCAAGCACTGGAGATTTTGTTGTGGCTGAATGTCAACGCTGCTTACTGTCCCTTTAGCGTCTCTTTCACCTGCATGTGGGATTATACTGGCGCCATATGGGTATTTTTTCCTTTGCTGTGTCTGTTTCTTTAGTTGTTTTGGTAAAATGTAAGTAAGACGTAAGCATTTTAACACCCTGCACAACGGGGAATGTGTTTACTTCATCGGCAGCGCGTCTGCCCTGTAAATACAAAGAGCTGGTTATTACTGTTAATTAAAGACACAAGGATGAGGCTGTTTACAGAGGAGAAAGCAAGTGTACATTTTAAGGTTACATTCATGTACAATAGACAATATGGCCGTTACGAGTCTACTGCACATAATATCAAAGAAAATAGGACCTTTTCATGATTTTCAAGCGACAGGGGAAACAAAACATCACTTAAAATACCTCATACAGATTTTGTAATATCATTATCACGTACAAAACAAAACGTGAGTGGTCAACAAGTTTTGTTCCCAATTTAGGGCTGGAAAGTGGGAGCACTTGAAGGCATCATAAACCCCAGTTGGCCACATGCCAAATCCACCACAGATTAGGATTCTAGAGTCTTGATTGTGTCATGACTCTTATTGTACTTCCATCTCCATATAAGGACTCGTGCTGGATATCAATATCAGGCTGTGAAACATGGCTAAAGGAGGCTAAAAATAGATCACATATGGGATGATGAAAAGAGAACTGGATTTAGGGCATGAAACACAGCTATAGACCTTTATCACTAAATGATACAGTATGTCAACATGAAATCCTGGAACAGAAGATCCACCAGTGAGTATGAAACTAACTGTATTTCTATAGCAGCATCCTTGTTTTTATAGCACTTTACTGGCCTCTCTATTATTGGGTTTATTAATAGTGCTTAGTAAATTCCAAGTACACATTTCAATACAATATTTTTCAACCAAATCTTTTTGAATGCATCTTGTCTTGTGTTAGCTTCCTTCAGTCATGTTGTGATGAAGTTGTGGTATCACATTCACATGACTCACATGAAACTTTATTTTTAAGAATGTTTACTGAGTAATCCTGTGTGTTGCTTACCTGCAGGTCGATGAGCGTGGGTGGGGTGACCTTTCCCCTGGAGCAGCAGTCTAAAGACCCACAGTCGGTGGTCTATACTGGCCAGTATGACACAGAGGGACTAGCACATACCAAGAGCGGAGAGAGGCAGCCAGTTCAAATCAGCATCCAGGTATGTACACAGGGCAGGGAACTAACTTCAATCAGGAGGGAGAGGAAGGAGAAGACCAACGGTCAACAGTCAGTTTATAGCCAGCAAGGGTTTAGAAAAATTGTAGAACAAGCAAAACTATGGCATAACATACATTTACTGAGCAAGTATGGGAATATCAACAAACCGAAGAATATCTAAATCCAGCTGGAGCCCAACTTTAAAAACCTGGTTCATTCATTCTACACAGTGAATTGATGACTCTGATTGTATTCTATATTTATTTATTGTCCACAAATCTCATGAGACCAATAATCTAACAATAATCCTAAGTATTATTTGTTCAGCCATTAAAGGATAAGGCTGGCTGTTTTCTATATTAATAGTATTCTCAGTAATTTCCATACAGAGACTAACACCAACAATGAATTGCTTCTACTTACAATGAATTTCTGTCAGATGTCGGTCCTAGATTAGCTTGTTTGTCTGTGCGATAGATCTCCATTGTTGTTCAAAAAGGATTAAAAATACATCAGGGAGACACATCACTGCCCTGGGTGACATTGTTTTGTTATGAAACCCCAGACCCAACTATGCTGCCCCAAAGCCTCAGAGCAGCCATCATTTCCTGAAGTTAGCACGAGGCAGAGTCACCTGTGCATGTACGAAATCTTGTGCGAGCTCTCTGCTTTGTTTACCTTCTGCTAGCTCCTCATGCTTGGGTCCGGGTCAGGTCTAATAGGTCCACCACCCACCTCATTCATGCATCTGTCATCATCCATCTTTTCTCCAGCTAACTGTAACCATGGAAACACAGTAGAAAAACTGTAACCATGGAAACTCTTGTGCCTGGCAAAACTGTAACCATAGCAACATAAACACACCTGGTAAGACTTCCATTCAGCCTTTAACCTGGGGATTATACACTAGCACAGACTCTGAGATTCATTCATTCATTCATTTTCTACCGCTTAGTCCCTGAGTGGAGCCAATCCCGGCCAGCAATCGGGCAAAGGCGGGGTACACCCTGGACAGGTTGCCAATCCATCGCAGAGACTGTGAGATTAAAGTGACAATTTTGTTTCCATGAAAAGACCCAAACTAATGATGTGTTAATATGTCTGTGCAGTCATTCCTGTTGAAAATGTAAAAAAATAAAAGGCTTAATTGTCCTTAATAGCTGTGCATTGTAGTTTTTAGCAAACGGTACCATAAGCAGGTGAGAGTACTGGACCTGTTGGGGACTTGTTCTTACTGGTGTGTTTTGTTGGACAACGATGGAAAGCACAAGTTAACTAGATAACTAGTTAACTAGAGATACAATTAACAGGCATTTCCCTTCGCTGACCATCTCTCGATTGTTTGGGCAATAACATGACACATAGTTGAGCCTACAGTGTATAGTGGAAATAAAAAAAATGAAAACTCCATTTTCTTAGACGCCTTGTGATGTTTTCAAATGTAGGCTATTGTTTTAAATGACCAACTGTCCAAAACCTAAATATATTAAATATGTTATCATAGAAGACACAAAATATTATTATCTGAGGAACTGTAACCTTAAATGTTTTGTGATTTTTATTTTAAAAAACAAGCTAAATTAATAACTGTTCCAACATGAGATGTGCACTGTCTTTTGGTTCTAACATGCACTACCTTTATTAGTTTCCAGTGTGACTACTGAGCAGATGCTAAGAGGAAGCAGCTGTTGTGGTTCCTGGTGTGGCAATGAAAACAGTGGTATCTGACGTTGCAAAATGTTTAAGAAGCTATCATTTTTAGCTTATTTTTGAAAAAACAGAGCATAGGTTCAGGTTCAAACACATTGTTACAAATATAATTTCATCTGGTTTGTGTCTGTATTCATCATGGCCATCTGTGCAGTTCACAGCCTGGAACCTCTGGGATGATATGTTGTGTGTGGGGGGGCATGTATCCGTCTGTGCAGTCAGTATGCTTAGTCTTCTTTTCACCTTGATGTGATTTTGAACATGATGATCTAGTGAGAGTCACGAATTCCTTATGAGTGTGTGTATATTCCCATCTGTCGACTCTGAATGCTTCGTCCTCAGTTCACTGAATTAGGCCAGTCAAAGAAGCTGAAAACTGTTTGTGTGACTGTGCGTGTACAGCATATACTTACTGGCATGTGTGTTTGTGCCTCAGTTCTCGACAGTGGGAATTTTTGAAACGGTGTGGCAGGTGAAGTACTACAACTACAACAAGAGGGACCACTGCCAGTGGGGAAATAGCTTCAGCAGCATTGAATATGAATGCAAACCCAACGACACGTGCACTCTCATGTGGATCAACAAGGAGATGTTTGTCTGACGGAGGACGGTGAAGTGTCTAATGGTCAGTATGTCAAGATGAAATCAAAACATTTTTTGTTACTTCTTGTTGCCAAACGGATGTTTGTAATCTTATGTCCTCCTTCTACTGGCGATCTCCTCCCCTTAGGTTTTTCTGTCTTTTAATTTAGTGTTTTCACACTTCCTATCATCTATCTTAGAAAATTTAAAGCTTTTTGTCCATTTGAAAAGAAAATCCATCCTTTCCCTCCTTTACAACATAAGACAATGCATCAGATTTACTGCCAAACTGGATTCAGTCCAGTTCATGTCAAATGAATTGTTACCATCTTTTCACAGTGGTTATACAAAGGTGTCAGAATCTATGTTGCACATTTATGAAGGTTAAAATTAAGCATGTAGCACTTCTCAGCAACCTGATTCAGCTTTAGTTATGGACTGTATTTCATCATGATTCAGAGATGTTTTGAGATTTGTTTTTCATGTACAGTTCGTTTGTGATGTCTGGCCTGTTCAGACTTGTGTACGTACAGTACTGTATGCGTGGGTTGTCATGTGGGTATTCAGCTCCAGTATGTGTTTTACAAATGGTGCTTGTACAGATAGAATTATTTTTGTTTATGTACTTGGAAGTGCATGTGAAGAGTTTCACTCCAGAACAACTGTCCATGTCATTCATGTCACACCAATACTTAGAAAGCTGTTGCTGGCATGACAATAAAGTGTATGTCATGTTACAGTTTACCACTATAACACTCCCCCCTCTTCATCAAGTCCAGTGTTCCCCATTTGTGACATTTTAATTTTATTGGCCCAAGCATGGCCAAAGAAATCTCAGTGTTTAAAATGAATTCAAATGAGAGTTTTTTTTTTATTTTTATCACAGGTTTTCGCAGTCTACTGCTTTGCAGTAACTTGTACATAGATAACAACATAGAACTACTTTCAGTCTGTTTTCCTGCTACTTTTAGTTGTGAGATGAAGACACCCCTGATGAAACCCAAACCTGTCGGTATCACAGGGGAGATGTGATACCGCAGTGTCACAGTCAGTGTTGGGGAGCAGTGAACTACATGTAATTAAACTTGTAGTTTAACTACATTCTGCAGTAGCTTGCTGGTAGTTCAGCTACCTTCATATTTGCATAGTGATTCAAGTATTTCAGTTACTTTTTGCCATTTTTGTGCAGTTAACTACTGGAACTCCAAACAATTTTAGGCCGTCAAGGAAAGTAAGTGTTTTTTATTTCAGCAGGCTGCATGTGGGCAGCTGTTCAGCGCTGGTACAGACACTTTCAGTGCCAAACAAAACTGCTTGTTGGGTAAGGACTTTTGAGAGGTAAGAGATTCTGCTCTGACAAGTAAAAAGATGATTTAGACCAGTGTTCAAGCTGTTCACACTCTAAAAAGGTACAAGTTGTTTTAGTTGTTAAGATTGTACAAGTCACAAGTCAGGTGTTACAAAACTGACAAATGATTCAAGAGGCCTGTTTTATTAGACCAGTGCTCAAGTTGGTCAAATGGTTTAAAAAGCATCAAGTTAAATGTTTTTCTCTTTACTGTTTAAGTTGTGGTCACACAATCCAAAAATGTGAAAAGCCCAGATGTGGCCGTTTGATTTAGGACAGGTTTAGGTCTCAGGTAATAAATACAACTGAGTAGCATTTTTTTTTTTTTTGTGGACAAGTGACTTTATATTATATTTTGTTGTAATTTCGTATCACTTATACATCATCAATTGTATCTTTTTTTTTCTGAAGTAGTTTGAACTACTTTTTCTAAGTAGCTTTAGTTAAACAGACTAGCGTAGCTTTGCTGTAGCTGAACTTCTTCTAGTAACTGGCAGCCACTGGTAGCCACCTCTAAACCAGGAACACCACACCAGATTTATAAATAAATGGATAAATGATGTATGTTTGGCTGAAGTTGAGCCTCTATTTACAGCATGTTTCTTCTGTCTACCTCTTCCAAAAGACTAAACTATGAATATGTTTATTTAAGATGAATATTGTATGTGAAATATTCATAACATAAACTGTTTGACATACTTGAAAAAAACAGTTTTTTCCATTTCTTGTGGCAACTCAATATTTATACAGTGAAACATTTGAAATGTTTTCATATTGTTGTGTGTATTTTGGTAGAAATAAATATTTTCACTGAATTGATCTATGCAAGAAATCAGAGCAACAAAGTAATGAAATGGTGTAATATAGTGGTGAAATGAATATGCGATGGTTGTTTGTTTATAATGTTGTTCATAGTAAAATGGAAAATCTACTGTAAACTATTAACTACATAAGACTTGTTAATGTATCTCACTATGACAAACAAAATTACAGAAGTGAATTAAGTTGAGTATATGGGAGCTTTTATTGTTCTGACAATCACCGGGTGAGGCTTCAAGGCAACAAAGGGAAACGTGTCATCCTGGTGTGCATCACAAATATGTGATGTGGCAAAACATGATGCTCCCCAACCTGCTGCTTGGTGCTGTGGTGGTGTCTGTACAAGAGAGGTCCTGCAAAAAGCATAATAAAAGAGCAAGAAGTGTCTGATTCTGTTAGTGTAGTGGAAAACCAAAGGCATCTGTGTCACCTTCAAACCTGAAACGTTGTCTTTTTTTATAAAGGGATCCTTGCTTCACATTCCTGAGTTATTTTAAAGCTTTTGCTACACTCAGCCTGGGCAGACGGAACAGTCCGCGTCTTTTGCGCACACCAGCCAAAGACACAAGAAGACAGGGAGCATACAGACTTTCTGATATCAAAGTACATGTTAATATATGTAATTTGTGGGAAATCGGGCTCAGAACGAATGTTAATTCATTTTGCATTGTTGCCTAATTGTCTGAAAAAGCCTAGCAAAGTCAGCTGGGCCAGCCCAAGCTGTCAAAACGGCCTCTTGTGTTTAGGCCACGGCAGGCTGTGCTCAGATAAATACAGGGTTATTAATAAAGGGTTATTCTCACAACAGAACAGCGACAAACAGCGGAGAGTTCCTGTCTGCCACCAAATGCCAGGGAGACCAGTGTGGACGCTGCGCAGGGCGGGTCGTTTGGTTTCTGTGTCAAGGAAAGGAGGAGAGGGAGGGGCGGGGGCTTGTTTGGTCTTGTTTTTCATACAGCATGCTTTTAGCTGAAATTTGATTCCAAAATAATAATAATAAAAAGTTTCAAAACCAAATAAATAAATAAAGTAAAAAAAAAACGGTCTTGCGCAAAGAGGCACCACCTGGGGTCTTTCTGTACGCCCACACCTGCTGAATGTTGTCTACTTAAGCCCAATACTTGAGTAAATATAGGCTACATTATTAGTCTGCGCATGCGTCTGTAATATTAAACCGACTACTTGTGCTCACTGGGGTTCAGCGCGCACCGCCAGTACATTTGAGTGCAGCGCAGTCTTAACACCAGTGGGGGGAGCGCAAGCACAAACCTGTTCACAAGGTAAAAATATAAAACCTATAGTTCCCGGATGTACAGTACTGCTGCAACTTCCCCTTTCGCTTCGTCTCTCCTCCCCTCCGCCATCGCCTGCTTGTCAAAGCGAGCCTCCTCCTCCGCTTACTGTCCCCTCCCAGCGGGTCTCCCTCCCTGGCCACTGCAGTGAAAGCCTCGCTAAAAGGAGAGAAGAGACGGAGAGACGAGTCTGAAGCTCGGTATAGCACCACAACGAGACTTCAGCAAGCACCACAGTTGTGTATTTTTCGCCACAGATCGGCGGCCTACCGACCCCCTCGTTAAACCTTTTTTCTGTTCACGTCGCCTGGATTTCATCATCCGTCCTCCAAGATGGTAAGCGGCAACGGCTCCTATTTTCACCCTCCGCCGACTGGCAAACCCACCAGTGGGAAGGCCTGCGCTGCAGTGTGTCGAATAATGTGGCCTTTTGACAGGGTGTTGTTCGTAGTGAGCACTTGGCTTTGAGTTAACAGTCGACAACGTAGAGCCCTAGCGAGAAGGAAACGTTTTCTCACCCAGTTCTGGCTCCCTGTCGCGCCTTCTTTGCAACACCCCGCGGCTGCCAGTAGCCTGAAGCCTGTGGCCCACATACTTCTTATCCCTTCTCGCCATAGTCTACAGTCTTATTAGCAGCGAGGCCTGTGCAAATGAGTTTTCGTGACTAAAAATACGCGCGCAACGCAGAGATGAGCGATTAAATGCGGCGCATTTTACGCACAGGAAAATGCATCGCCTGCTCAAGTTACATGTATTCGCTCTGCATCACTATATAACGAGGTTTATCTCAGTGTTTTCTATGTAGCATGGCGTTGTGTTGATAGTTGCAACAGTGTTTCATTGCTCGTAAGCATGAATATGCCCAGGGATATTGTTGTAGCTCCTCTGTTCACAGCACTTCTAGAGGAAGCTGCAATAGCAGGCCAAAGGATCGTCTCTGTCCGGCCTAATTGATTGGTTTCTCCACTACATATATAAAATAAATTAGGGGTGAGCTTCCTAGTAACCATTGGGCATACTCCATGCAGGGACAAATATGAGTGGAAGTGAGCTGGCAGCAGTGCCCATGCCTGGATCCATATACCCGCAGATCAGAGCTGACATGTTATCAGGAACCAATTGCAATGGCGTAGCTAGGAAACATGAGTTGTATATTTGGGACCTCCACTGTCTCTTCTTTCCGACCGACCCCAGGTCACTGATGTCCTGACAGCACCATACTGGCAGTAACAGCCGTTTGTTCACTAGCAGTCCCCTGTTTAGACTCTGTCCAGGAAGGAGTTTATTGTTTTACAATTGTCTGGGCAGGAAAAAAAAAGCTAAATGTGATTCCTTATATTGCTTTGTTTGCAAACCATACACTTCCAGTCAGAGGTTTGGACACACTGTTGTCATAATGGGAACGTGTGTCCAAACGTTGTCTGTGGAGTAGTTCACAGGCTATCTTGGAGCAGCTTTATTTGTTTGGGGTTTTACGGTTTTGGCTGCTCAGACCTGTTATTTAGCAGGAGATTCAGATGTTTGTAAATATTGACACAAGCAAACGATCTGCCTTTAAATACACAAACTGGAGTAAGATCAATGCATAGGAGTCGATTGTAGCTCAATGCAGATGCAGCCTGTTGGTATGTGAGTATATGTTGGACAACAAATAACAAGATGTCAAAGATATGTTTGAGGTCATTTAGAAACAAACTAGACAGCTACTCCACCAGATAACCAGGTTAATGTTTTACCTGAAAAGTTCAAGTGCACATCTTGGCTACAGTTCTTTATGATTTTTACTTGTGTGGTGTAGGAGATAATTATTTAAGAATGTAATTATGTAAGAATGTTAACACAATGAGACAATTCTTTAGTATATTACTTGTGTGGTGTAGAAGAGAATTATCTATGTAGAGATACTGCTTGCAAACCAATGATGGTAAGATGATGTCATGGGGTAGGACTGGATAAGTCTGACTTCTTCCTACTCCATTCAAGCATGTACTAGGTATAAGCACATTGATATTGGATTATGTTTACAGTCATGTGTGTTGTGTGTCTTTACATGCTTGAAAGAATAAATCAAATCAAATCAAATCAAAATGGAAAAATTGCTGATTTAAAAAAAAAGTATTTATTGAATGAATGAATTACTTTTTAACCTCACATTGAGGATTGGTCAGCAGGTTATAGGTGTTACCACAGATGTTTTAAAAAGTTGGCTGGGTTTTACTTTCACCTTGATGCGTAACATTAGATATTGATTTGATGCACTTTGAATTCATCGGGACAGACGCCAGCCCAGATAGTGTGAACTCCTCTGTTTACTGAATGATACATTTGCCAAGCCTCACGTAAAAAAGATCAGCTCTGCAAAGCCACATAACTTGGTTGGATGGCTGCTCCAATACGCTAGCTGCGAGAAGCTCGTGCTTTGGGATTGAAGACTACTGTCCCTGAGGTTACATACTGCATATTATGGTGCATTAAAGATGCATCTGGAAATGCAAAGGAGCACACAAACCACACAGCTGCAGGGGGAGGTTGGAGGCAGGGACACATGGATGCTTAAGCATGTATTGGAATGATCTGATGCTAAGAGCACCATATGCTGCCTAGCAATCAAGTGCCGCCCACATAAGGATTGAGCTGTAGCTAATGTAAAAGATATAAAAGCCACAGCGAACCACCAGCAGATGTGGTGATCCACACTGCACTTCCAACCACTCTGTCTGGATTTATTCTCCGCACTGATCGTTGCATCACTGCAGTCTTCTGTTGCACTGGAGCCAGTGGTCAGCAGCACAGAACAAACTCCAGTCAGTTCTGTCAGTAAACATCTGGTATGTCGGCCTCTGTGCCCAGTGACTAGAAGAGTCAAGTAACTGTCAAATACACTGATTGGAATAGGATGTATAGGTCCTACAGTGCATGGGGATGTTCAGTACATCTCAGAAGTTGAAATGGTCAAAAGGTATATGCAGTTAAAACTGGTCAAATAAATTCTCGCCACTGATGCCAGAAGACGTAATTCACCTAGACCTCTTGATTTCTGCCTTGTCAGCATCGAAGGAGCCAAATGTACAGAGTCACTTCAGAAATTATTCAGACCCCTTCACTCTTTACACACTTTACTGTGGTAGATTTTAAATGGATAAAACTGTCGACACTCAGTAACCCATAACAGTTTTATCCCAGAGGTCTACACAGAGTTCTGTGGACACACTGCTTGTGTCTGTCCTGTGAACTGTGGGACCTCACGTGTTTGTAAACTACTGTCCAGTCAGTTCAGGTTGTCAGATGTGGATTCCCAACTTTTAGACGTATCTCTGTGATAAAATAACCACTAAATGTCCCTCCATTTCCAGAAAACAACAACAATATAATGGGGGGAAAAAAAGATGGTAGAAAATAATTTTGCGTCCCTGTTAGACAGGTGCCATTCCACAGGTCTTTGACATCCATTTCCTATCTTCTGATTGGCTGCCATTGATGTTATTGTTGTTGCTGTTCCAACAAATTCACTACAGGTCAGCGACCTCCTACGCGACTCCACATAGCAGTGATGTTGTGTTGGTGTCTGTATTCACTGTAGTGCTGAAGTGACAAGTTAGTCAGTGGGATCCTTTTAAGGTATTTATCCAGTAATAACTCCGAGTCAATGTTCAATCCAGCCTCACACACGAGGATGTAGTAATGCTTTTATTTGTTAAATAATCTCTATAAATTCAGTATCTTGAGGATTTGAACAATTTTTAAGGCAGAAATTGAAATCGTGTCACTTGCAGCTTTAATCGTTGACCTGTGCTTTACACTGTAGATATTATGGTCTGTCTGCTGGGACCTTCGATTGTTGGTCAGGCTGTTGTTCATTGGTGGTGAGAGACAGCAGGAGCTGCCCTGTGGCTGGTCTGAATTCTAGCAAGCTTTAGCTGCTTTGCCTCAAATTGGGGTAGTTACCGGTCAAGGCCAGTCCAGCTGAAAACCGGCCTTTTCCGATCTCCGCCAGTCGCTCGGTGCACCTCTGCCAATTATCTATCCAAAAAACAAACAGTTGAGTAATTGGGTCCAGCCCTGTAAATTATACAGTGATGGTGTTTGGATGACTGAATGAGCTTAGTACTCAGTTGGAACTGGCCAGTAGCCTGAGCAAATACAGCGCAGGTGTAAGGCTGTGTGATGCCACCAAGTATCTGCCTATAGCTTGGATGAGCAGTGGGTCTCGAATGTTCATTAAGATAAAGCTGCCAAGTATTTGCTGCAAGCAGATTAAACAGTACATTAGGTTAAAGGTACGGTAGGTTAGGCAACACTCTTCTGTAGTCTTGTTGTTGGTAGGCAGATTTATGACAGCGTGGACACATACTCCCTGCTGGGCTCAGTGACAGGTCGAACCATCACTGAACATGAACGTTGGACTTTAGACTCGTAGTAGTGGCACGTTTCACTGTTTACTGATAACGGTGCGTCCCAGTACGACAAGATGAATTCCCATGATGGAGAACAGTCTTGAACTGAGCCGTCGGGTAAAGATGAGAGTTGAATGGTCTGATGTTCTTATCAGCTGCTAAATAAAAGCCGTATCATCACTAAGTTAATGCATAAGAAGATTTAGACATTGTTAGTTCACATGGTGCTGTGAGGCCATAACAGTCCTGTGAAGGTAAGCCCAACCTGGGGATAGAAATGGCTGAGGGGATTAGCCCTGCCACATTTCCTTCAGGCAGCTAAGATTTGGGTAATTATTTTCATACTTGCACTTGACTCCTAAGTCTGGTAGAGATCCGTTGCACACATCCACAAAGAAACAAGTATGCAGGCAAACACAGCTACCCAGGCGAGTTAACAAAACAGGAATTAAAAATAGAAAAGGCAAGGGATGATGCTTTGAGGGACAAAAGAAACAGATGACTTTAAGTTTGTAGCAGCTCCTTTTAATTCTTGCACATATCCTCCATAGCCTGTTTATGTACAGTAATGATGTTGAACGTTATTAGTGATATTACGCAGTCAGATGGTTATTGTCCTGGGTTTAGCTGTATAAAGTTTGACTGAAAAATGGAGGAGTGACCTCTATTTAAAGATCAGTCTGAAAGCACAGCACAGCACAGCACAGCTCAGCTCCTCTCTGCGCTCTGCTGTGGCTCTGGAGCTTTGTATATGTTTAGTATAAAACTCAGCTACATGTATATGGGAAGCCTGATGCTTGGCAGAAACATGTGTGGGTGAGGGGAATCTTGTGATCCCTGAACTAACCAAACAAGCACAAAGCAGGGAGAAAATGCACAACAAATAAACAGACTTGAATACACACTGGACACACTTTCACCCCAAGAATAGTGTGCCAGTAACATGCACTGTGTGGAAAGTAGCTCAGACATGCCAGGGTTTGTTTAAAATGGGTTTTAGTTTCCATGAGCATGCACAGACACCACAGTTTTTTGCTTTGTAGTTTGTAGTGAACGGTCATTTTGGTCCTTCACAAGTTTCCAGAGCCCTAGAAGACAGATGAATTTTCCATATACTCAGTATTCAATTCGCATTGATATAAGAAAGATTACAGCAGGTGGAAACAGAATATTCATAGTTTTTCCTTAAAAATAACCTCAGCAATTATGTTGAATAACAAATGGCCGAGTGAAAGTGTGCTGCTGCAACCAGCAGCTTTGTGAACGTTGTCTGCCGATTCTGTTCTCTACTATGGATACACACCCTTAACTGTTTAACCGTTAACCAACAATAAGGATTCCATCCGGTTAAACGGCAAAAAAAGTAAACGGTTTGCTGAAAGATAGGCCATGGGGCCAACATGCTGTATCTCGTGGGGGCGTGGTGTAAAGCTAATCAGACAGGCTTCCCCAGGCTGGAGCACACAGGAGCTGTTTTACTAGGCTGTTTTATTCTGTTCACAGTCCACAGGCATGTGATGTGACGCCGTGTGTTCTGTTCTGTTCATGTTCTGCTGCTGTTTATGCCGTATTTGCACATGTATTTTTTTTTAATGGGTCACAGACACTCATCCACTCTAAATGGCGTAGCATTTTAATCCTGGTAGTTAATGAGCATCGGTTTTCGCTCAGAAAAACAACTGAAAATGTGAATCTCTGTTCTCTACCAAACGTGTCGGTACATTGAGTAGCTGAATGAGACATTTTGACTGAAGATGCCGAGAATGTGCTTCCCATTTAAAGTTGCACAAGAATTTTTAAAGAGGCACTGGCTCACATGAGGACAGCTTTGGCTTTTTACACCTGCAGATGTATTGAATTTACCATTTATTTAATAATCAGTATGACCAGCATATAGATTTGACTTGACGTTGGTGCAGCCCCATGTCCCCAGTCTGTCACGTTATGACTGGCTTTTGTAAGGCTGTAATTAGTGGGCTTTTTGGATTGGCTGTAGCATTGCTGTTCAGCCAGCGGTGCTGCCAGACTCTTTATTATACAAAACATGTTTTGTGTGCTAAGGCCTAATTGATTCTGAATGAAGCATGCATTATTGATGAGCCAACATGAGGCTCTCTCTTTGAGCCTGTATCCCTCTTTGTGTATGTGAGATCATTTTTCACTTTTCTTTTTCTGTATTTGTATAATCATCCCGTCTTGCATGGGCACAAAGGGGCAGCCCAACAAGAGCCGCACAGAGGGCTTTGTTACAGAAGACCTGATGCAAGTTACTCCTGACCCCACGTTAGCCACACCAGTGACCTAAGGCAGGCCTTAGTTAGTAAACCTGTAATCCTCAACACCAAATCTGCTTTGCTCTAAGTCTCTTTACCTCTAGTGACACCACAGCCATCCCTTACCTGACAGCAGACATCAGCAGTCAGTTTGCACCCCCCCCAGTCATGTTCCTGCTGTTTTATTTAGGCAATTATTCATTCACCTTTTGTAAGCCTAGATGCGTTTATTGTCAAAACGCATCAGTGTGTGAATAAATATTTTATTTGGTTATTTAAACTGTGGCTTGGACTGTTTTGTCCATCCTACATCTACTTCCTCTTTACATTTTAGCTCCTCTGTCAAAAAGGTTATGTTTTTGGTTCTTTGTGTGTTGGTTAGCAGGGTTACAGACAAACGCTGGAAGGATCATCAGCATACTTGGTACAGGCATTGGTGGGGACCAACCATAGAAGTCATTACGTTTTGGGTGGAAAAAGGTCAATGTCACAAAAAATCAGAAACATCTTTAACATTTCAGGGGGTGTCCCTCCTGGCTAATCCTGTGTCACCAATTTCTCCCCACTGCTTTTAAAATACTGTAACCTCTGAGGCGAGTGTACAGTATACAGATTTATAAAGAAAGGAAAGATTAGTTTGAGAATATTTCAGGATGCAACATGACCTCAGTTCTGTTTGCTGTAGAATATCGGTCCATCTATGCAGCAAATTAAACATTTTAGGGTGTGTTTGAGTCACTCAGACCTTTTTGAGCGTTCTCAGTGGAATTAGTTTTTGCCAATCCTAGTGCCATGGTTTTGATTTCTAAAGGTGGATTAAACAGCTACAAGTATTCCTGGGATGAATGTACCTTTAGTTCAGATGTTTGTGGTCATGGACAGACCTCGAATTAAAATTCCGTACCTCCATGTTTTCTTTCAAGCTTTGGTGTGTGTGTGCAGTTTGAAAATATCCAGCTTTGGCAGTTTCTGGTGGTCGCAGCATTAAGGACGCTACAGACAGCATACAGTAGCTTGCATTGATTTGAAAGATGCTATTTTCTCATAAAAACTCTACACAAAGGGGCTTTAAATCCACTTTTCCTGACAGGATGCTGCAGTCATTGCTCTTTGCATTAGGGACTCCTCACAGGCTCCCATGTGAACGTTCAGCCCCACTCTGCCAGCAGTTAGACTCAGTGGACACTGCAGTGTTGGATGGGATGTGGATGGGACTGCTGAGCATCAGCCAATACCCCACACACACACACACACACACACACCGACACCACCACCACGCCTTATGCAGACATGTAAATATGAAGCTTGAGTGAAACAGGAGTAATACGTTATTCCCACAATGCACAGAAGCATTTACAGCCATACCCTTGGTGTACATTGTTTCCAGGAGGGTCTTAAATCACTGCTAGCGTATCTTAAATCAGCTTAATAGATGTAATCAGTTCAGTTATCTTGCACGTAAGTTGAGGTTGTTCTGGTACTGTTCTTTCGTTCTGTGACACGTCCCTCTCTCTCTTTCTCTTTAGGGAAATGAAGCCAGTTACCCCCTGGAGATGTGCTCACATTGTAAGTATCTTGAATACTTGGTTGCTCTAGTTGCACAAGCCACCAAACTGGCAACATTTTTATCTGGTGTATTTTGTTATTGACGCCCAGGAAATGCATGGCGTTTGCTGTGTGAAGTAGTGTCTTTGGTTCTGAATATTAATGTTTTATATCTTTCAGTGACCAGGACAGTTTTACAGCAACATTTAATTTAGTGTTTGTTTTTATTCACCGTGGTTCACTACTGTTCCTTGATTGTCAGATATTTTATTCTCTCAATGAGGCAAAACCGATATTGTTGCCATCTGTTTATTTTGTCCATAAACAGTCTGTCTTTCTCATTTGAATTTCCAGATAATTCCCTACTCTGTACATGTGTGTTTCTGATATTGTGAAGATCTTGGAACCTTGTTATGTTTATCATATTTATAAGATGTCTGCCTTGTAGACATCTTTGTGCTCCTGAGCTCTCAGGAGGAGGAGAGCTGAGGATATGACTCACATTTCTTCTTTGTCCGCCCCCTTCACCTTCCCTACATCATGATACATCAACACAATATCTCAGCCTCGCGTTGTTGATAAAGTCCTCAGAGATGCAGATTTCTCACCGGCTCGCTCTGGTGCAAACAGCACATTTTACGCTGAGTGGTTGTTAAGAAGCAGGCTAAAATGGGTCTGTTGCTGCATGTGTTTAATGAGCACTGAGACTGCAATGGGTCCCTCTGTAGTGTAGGTGCACGTCAGGGACCATATCGCTGGTTGGATTGACCTCATCATGTCTCAGAATCGGAGTCAGATGTGAATAATTATTTCAGTGTGATGGCTACAAAGGTGGTTGTTGAGATTTTTGTTGCTACAGTTGAAAAGTGTTGTGTGCAGTGAAATATCTCTATTTTCTAAATGTTAATGCTGATTTTTGGAGTGTAATTTTGAAAAAACAAAACAAAACAGTGCAGCAGGTGAAGTGTTTTTGCATTGCACACTAGAGTGTTTGCAAAGTAACCCAACCCAAGACACACATACATATTCAAAATGGCACATTGGATTAGCGCGAGCAGAGTTGTGGGCATAGTGTGGCTTGTCCATACTGAGACTGCACTACTGTAGCATTGTGGGGGACAAGACCTTGGCCTGCCAGGCTCTCCAGGCATTCGTCCCTCATGATTATGCTACCATGGTGAGGGAAGGTGGAATTGGATGATGCACGACCCTGGACTGAAGCCATCAAGGACCTCTGCATTCACTCTGGGATATTTAGAGCTTCTCTCTAGCTGCCTCTCCCTTTTCACCACTATCTGTTTCTCTCCTCTTTGACTGTCCTACTTTCTTGTTCTTTTGAAAAGTGCTATATAGGCATGAAATACAAATACTTATAAGTTACATCATCAAATTTAAATAGCTAAAGAGAAGTTTTTGAACAGTATCAAACTTGTTAATTATAGCTTAGTATACTAGACTGGCAGGTATAACAGGTACATGCATGGAAGCCCTTTTCCGTCTGGATTATACAAGATTTTCCAGTTGGAAAAAGTTCTTCATTGCTACTATGCTTGTTTCTATCAGACCTTCACTTTTTCCTCCTACTTTGTCTTTTTATGATCTACTCTCTTCATCTCTCTCTGGCGTTCTCGCCCAGTCTTGCTCACCCTCGCTGACAGAGCAGCTGTTCAGCTCATCAAGTGCTTGGACAGGCAGACACTGACTGTGGAGAAATTAGCTCTGCCCTGCTGGTCGGACAGATTCACCCTGCTGCCCCTCAACCTTACCGCCCTCAGTGAGAAGTGGACCAACAAAGCCTAGCACCCATTCACCTGTACCTGCCCTCAGACCACTCAACTCTGTTTGTTGATGTCCATAAGATCAACTCGAGGAATTTGCCTTGATAAAATTGTTCTGTGCTGGAGGATGATTTTTCAAAAGGCCTGTATCCTCTTGTCAGCGCACTGCTCCTGGCTTAAGCGAGTTTAGATCAGGCAAAATATAATGGCCTACTTGTGGGAGCGAGCATAATTAGTCACACAGTCCGCACAGACACACACCTCCACACACACCCATATGCACTACACACTTTGCTTAAGTGCATGCATGCGCCCACTCTGTTCTGCCACTCTCTTCACCCCTCCACACACACATACACATCCCTCGGCACATCACGCTCTCACACAGCAACGCAGCAGCAAGCCTGCAACCATCACAGGCCTGTCTGTCGCTGCCCAAAATAAACGGCGGGCGGCTCACTGGAGTTCCTTGTTGCTAGGGGTTTCCCTGAGGGCGGGAGCCAAAGCCTCTGTTGGTGGGGTGAGTTGGGGGTTTTCTGATGACAGCACAACTAAAAATATACACCATCAGCACACTGCCCTGCTTCACCCTCTGTTTGGCCCATGCTGACGAGCCGTACATTGTCAGAGCGGCCGGAGCAATCAGCCTAATGCATGGAGTGCGGCAGCTCTCAGCTGAAGTTAACACCCTGCTGTATGGCATCCTCTCACCAGTGGCCTAAATGAGATAAGACTGGGGGAGTGACAGAGAGGTGATGTGTGTAGGCCTCTTTTTCTCAGTCCCAGAAATGATTTCCAGATCCACAAGTAAACCAGAATCTGTGCCTACCACTGAAAACTCAACCTGCCTTCAGCTGGTTCAGTGTTAACACTAAGCACAGTTGTGTTAAAGTTCCACAGGTGTTTAGACAGACGTTGGGAAAACTCCTCCAGAGCGACAGATATTTTCTCACGTCAAGCAGTGCTCCTTGTGGCTGGTTAACTGATAAGTTCTTTGTCAGTCATTTTAATCTGTAGCTTTTTCATCATGTCGTGTCCATCTGCAGCATGCTGTCGTTTTCCAGTGTAATGCCTCGACACGCTACAACCTCACCGGCTCAGTACAATCCCATTGTGCTAATTGGCACAGTGTTATGTGTCAAACTTGTGTAATTACTGAGCTGTGCATGTAGCCTTCTCATGTTTAGCCACCCTCTCATCTTGTGTGTTTGGGGAGCTACATATAGCCAAGTCTAGGCTGTAATTACCGGTGGCGTGCCGACAAAATTTTGCTGTGTATGACCCCCCCCCCAGGCTTGCTTGTTTCAGTTCAGGTTTGCTGTGTTAATGGAGTCACACATCTCCATTAATGGGCTGGGTGAACTGTCTGAGGGCTGAGCATGCACAAGAGGACAAATTTATTAATGACATTTTTGGAACATTGTGTTTTATAATTAAAAATGGGGAGCAAAGCCACTTGCACTTAGCAGATTTTGTTTGCACAGCAGTTTAATGGTTAGCTTGAGGTAGCTGGCTGTTAACTGTGCTACCAGCAATGGCACAGTGTTAAGCAGAACATTTAATGTGTTGCCCAATAGTGAGGTTGTTGACAACTTGTCTAAAAAAAAACAAAAAAACACTGGTACTTAAATTTGTATTGAAGAACTCACGGACACAGAAAAAGAGGTACTAAGCAAGGGATTGAATTTTGCGGTCACACCCAAACAAATCCCTGTGGTAGACTTCATCACAGCCACAGGAACAACAAGCTGGCCGAGACAGAGGTGGAAGAACTGCGGCTGAAGGTCACAGCCGCTTTGGCCAGTGCCAAGCTCCCACCCCTGAACCTTACCCCCAAGGAAAGGAGGGCTTTAGCGGCACTAGAGAAAGATGAAACCATCACAGTCCTTCCAGCAGACAAAGGCAGGTGTACAGTAGTCCTAAACTCAGCTGACTATCAGATCAGAGTTTCCGACCTCCTCAGTGACACCACCACCTATGAAGCACTGAAAAGGGACCCACCAGAAGCTGGAAAAGGAGGGAGTTATTGACCGGCGACTATACCCCGTGGAGGCCATCCCTTGCATTTATGGCCTACCCAAAATACACAAGGAAGGAGCCCCACTCAGACCCATTGTCAGCAGCATCAACTCCATGACTTACAACATAGCCAAGCACGTGGCCACCATCCTGGCTCCTTTGGAAATCAGGACCCAGGAGGTAGAGGCTTTCACCAAACATATCAACTCTGGATGACAACATCAAATTCACTCGTGAGGACGTCAGAGATGACTGTCTGGCCTTTCTGGATTGTGCAGTCCACTTGGGAGGGGACAGAAGGCTGAAGGTAGAAGTATATCGAAACCTTCTAACACAGACCAATACCTGCTTTTTGACTCACACCATCCACTTCAACACAAACTAGGAGTCATCAAAACTTTAGTCACAGGGCAGAGGAAGTGCTCACAATGGCAGAAGGGGCCAAGGAGGAGAAATTACTCATCTAAAACTCCCTTAGGGCTTGTGGATATCCTAAGTGGGCCTTCACCAAAGCAAGGAAGAGGCCCAACACCAACAGGGAGAAACCAGAAACAAGAGGGGATAACACTGTCATCCCTTATGTGGCTGGTTTATCAAAGAAGTTAAAA